CATTTATAAAACAATGGCTTCAGGCAACAGGTACATACAGCTCCGAAGATGAACATCCAAATATAAGAACAGGAGAGGTAGCTCAGTCGGTATAGCGACTGGCTACGGGCTGGGCGGCCAAAGGGTCGGAGTTCTAGTCCCGGTAGGGTCAAGAATTGTCTCCTCTGCACGCCGTCCAGAGCGGCTCTGGGCCCACACAGCCTCCTCTCCTATGAGTACCACGGTCAATTTGCCGGGGGTAAAGTGGCTGAGGCGCGAAGCTGACCGCAGTGGGAACGTGTTTACCGAGCTGCTGCCCAGAAACGGCAGTTGTTTACAAAGTCTACAAACAAACTCCGTGGCCTGAATTCCGCAAACGAACTATACCGACCGAGAGACCGCCACTTGTCGGCGAAGTTAGTGCCAACTTTAGCGGATAGTGTGTGTCGTGTGGTCAGCGCAACGGATACCCACGTCCAGTAATCTCGGTTTTCTAGACCGGAGCCGCTATTTTCTTCAAACAGCTCCTCAGTTATCCTCACGAGGCTGAGTGGACTCCGTTCCAGACCCACCACTTCTCAGAAAATCTGGTAGCGCCGGGAATCGAACCCGGGATCTCTGGTCTAACCACTAGACCACAGAGACGGCTTCTACAGTGTCTACACGCCACAATATCCTAGCTACTGCAGGCGGCTTAAAATAAAAGGGGGCAAAAAAACCTGAATGTTGCAGGTATAGTAACTGGGTTAGTCCACGACCGACTCCTTTCGAATCCTTTCCAATGCATTATTTGTCAATGTTTTTACAATTCGATGCCATAGTCACAGAACCTGACAGTCGTTAAAGAGACCACAAAGAAAAGAGAGAAGCGTTCCGGTGGTGTCCTGACTACTAACGTTTTTAATGGTCACGGAGAAACAAAATCTCTCTTTTTTCAACCTGACAGCCCTACACAAAGGATGCAACGTAATTTGGCTCCCAGCAATAGACACAACATACGAATCGTACCGTGCACAGACTTTAAAGGTGAAAGGAGGGTATGACCTCGCAGGGAACACAAAAACAACAATAGCCCCCCACCCCCACCAAGGGCAGGTAATGGCTGTAAAGTAAATAGCTACCACATAATAGGGCGGAACTTCCTCCTAATGTAACACAACATACATACAAAAAAAATAACAAACCACCCCCTCCCTCCTGAACCGTCACTCTTTTTCGACTCCGAGCTATTGTTGGCATGGAAGCACACAGCACGCGTTTTCCAATGAGGCACGAAATTGCGGTCAAAAGGTTGAAGGAGAGAGGGGGGGGTGGGCTGAAAACTTCCTGCATATCTGCAACCGACCGCCCCACAGCCTTCTGTTTTATTGATTTCCCATTTCGTTTCACCCCCTTCGCTGTCCCGCCATTAGACAGCGATAACGTAATTGTAGCCACCCGCCACGAGAGTACGCCATCCTCCAGCTACACTACAAAGTAGTTCCCACTTTCACCACCACATTCTGATAGCAGCACAGGACACTCACCGATGGCTGTTCGATATATCGAATGAAACAATTCGAACCTTTGACATAATTCAAACAGTACTTTCAACGGACTACTGGTAATTTTTAAATATTTGGCAGCTAGCAGGAATGGGATATCTATAATATTACGTCAACAGCTTGTTCTGTACAAAGCTACGGCGATATATCTCGAATATGGTAAGAATAATGAAAGAAACGGAAGACTACTGCCTCACTGTAGGCAAATTAAATTAAAGACGACTTATTCTCAAGTTATCTACAGATGCTGATTCAACCCAAACTTATACTGCGTCAGTTGGGATGAAGAAGACTGTTATTACTGGTGAGCAAACGTCTCAGAAAACAGCCACACTAAAATTCTGTTGGGACATTTGATTATAATATTTAGACCTTACATTACAATCACGGGAATGGGAGCCAGTTGGAACCTATTAATCACGACCAGTGTCACGCAGTGGTATTAATCACGATTAAGCTTCTGGTATTACACTGCCAAAAATTTACAGTTAAGTAACGACGCAGAAGCAGTCAATGGGGTCCCATTCCAATACTAGTATCTGGCATTCACACAGGGAGACTGTGGCAAACCATGAAAACCTGAATTTAGATAGCTATATGAATACTTCTGTCACCAAGATACGAGGATATTCTATTCCCAGTTTCTGCAATGGAGATGACATGTTTTGTAAATGTATTTGCCATGATCAGATCCTCAATTATCTGAACATATGCCTAAACTTTATATGAAGTGAAACAAATCTAGTAAAGTAAAGCTGTCCCTGTGTTTAACTAATTAGGTACTACGCCATGAAGGTGTATGGGGAACTGGATGTAGAGATCCACATTTCTTGACCTAGGCACTAACTGGGGGTGAGTGGTCAGCTTCATACCACGGCCCCCAGGGAAAGGGCCCCTGGTACACATTAGACAGGAGGCCAGGGAAACAAATCTAGTATGTATATAATTTACCCTAACAGATCCATTCAACTGTGAATTCTGTATCACTTTACATACATAAAGAGGTTTTCTTTCAAGCACGAGACTAATCACCGTCACCGCAAAATTTCTGGTTAACATAGCAACAAACAGCTTAACATTAACATAAGTTACACAGTAGGTCATAAATGGGTGAGTGGGCGTTTGTAGCAGTCTATTATAACTGTTCTGTGAGAATGAACAATATTTTGATGTGGATATATTAAGTGTAGTATACTATATAAAGGAGACTGTTTACAACTGACAATTTCTGTGTGATAATTATGAGAGATGGTGTTACATTCTGGCTTCTGTATATCATTCCATTACATGTAGGACTGGAAAGGAATATGGAAGAAAGCAGGGGAAGTTAACGATACAAAAGCTTATATAACAAATGACGACATTCCCTCCTGAGTTCCCAACAAATGCTATACTAGTTACAGTTTGAAATTATTCTGATATATATAAAATGGTAAGTAAAAAGTAAAAGTAAAGCTATCACTACCAGGCCGTGAAGGCCCATAGGGTTATGAGACGTTGAGGGTCCCACATTATCTAGACAATCAGCTTAAAGATGGCAGTAAAGTGTCAGCCTTAAGCACTGGCCATGCTTTACTCCCCATGAAAATTATTTAATTAACTCCTGGTACTCATTTCTGTTAGAGGTTGAGTGAACCCCAGGGCCATAGTGCAGCTGGAAGAATTAGGTCAATTGAAAAAAATCCAATGACCTCATCGGGACTTCAACCCACGACCTTCTGGCTTGTAGCATAGCCCCTCTTAAACGGTTACAGACTAAAAATGTATCAATTATAAATAAAATTGGTATGCAGTGCTGGCAACACAGTTCACTTGGCAAAAGCACTGTGACTGCTGTTGTTAATACCGGCATCATTTATCTGATGTAGGACTGCAGGTACATGTTATGTGCTGCCAGGCAACTTGCCCAAGATTCGAACTAGGTACCATAAAAATCCTCAATGAACTATTATATCTGTCATTCTGTTTGGTATCCAAGAATTCTAGAGGAGTACACAAAACAGTATTTCATTTCTCAAGACATTTCGTAACACTGAGTTGTGAAATTAATTTTCTTAATGCATATTGTTATTGTACCTGTTGATTTATCTCATATACAGATCTAGTGTTGCAAAGCTAACAGCATCATAAAATTTATCGTAAAAAAATGTTTAAGGATGCATCGTTCCTCGGGCAGACAACCTTATGGAAGAAATATTTCTCAGGCATCCAACTATACAGAATGGAAATTACCTTCCTTTGTGTTTCATTAAATATTCCCAGTATCAAAATGATTCAAACATGGTTTGCTTCTTATTGCTGAAACCTGAAATTTATCTAAATCAGGGCTGTCCAACTTGAAACGGCCGAAGGGCCATACTGTACCTTAGATGCCTACATGACTGTATTATATCTGCCCTGCAATGATCAAGTGTATAAAGGCGGCAAGCACAGGAATATGAACTTGACCTATAATGTTCAAAGACACTTATTAAGAGTTTAATATAATGTTATGTACAGAAATTAATAAAAAGATGAATTAATTAGTCTCTGGTGAATTTCTACAGCAGGGATTTCCTCTTTCACATGAAATTCGATGACAGCACGCTGGCGAAACGACATATCATTGTCGGCCATTTTGTTATGAGTGATACTGGTCACGTGATGCAAGCTATTGACGTCACAAGACACTCAAGGTTAACACAACAGGTGGTTCCACCTACCACCTCTAAGTCTGCTGTTCCCAGGTTGCAGGCAAAAAAAAAGTTGCTCATGACTTTTGGTACGACCTACATAGTTAATTTCAGCCAAAAGTAACATTACATGGATATCTTACTGCCTACTGTTCAACCCTAAAAGTTCAAGTAATACATTCCTCTGAAATGTCAGGCTTTCTCTGAACTTCACAGCATTACAACTCAGAATGCCATAGTGTTCTTACCCAATACAATACAAACACAACAATCAGTCAAACTAGTGACACAAGACAACTTCGTGGCACTGTGTTGACAGCAACGGCATCATGAAGTTGTTCTGAGTTCTGACATTCACTCTCTTCCTTATGTAATGGAAACTGAGAGGAAATGCAGTTTACTCCACAGTCCACAACAGAGGAGAATGTCAGAGGTGAAAGGGGAACTGAAATTGGGAAAACAGACAGAAAAACTGACAATGTAATAAAATGTGCAGGCACAGGGTCCGTGGGCATAAAGCTCAGAAGAAATTCAAATGGAAAGACTGTGAGAAGATGGCATTTGAAACTTTACACCCACCGATCCTTGCAAACAGCAAATAACACTAAAATAAGAAAACGATGGATGACTACTGGTACAAAAAACCGTTTCTTCAACTTTCAGATTCCAAGTGACAGCAAATCTACTGCATTGTCTTTAGGTGCAGCAGGAGCGCTCGCAACAGTGAAACTCCTTAAACGTATACACACACTTTAAAACAGTACAATATGAAGCATATAATTAATAAAATAATTTTCAGACTTACAATCTGAAGATCGTAGTGACACACCACTGACACGGCCGTTCAGTTCACAGCAACCGCCCCACCCCACAGTTCAACACAACTGAAATGAAAGAAAATATACATACAGCACACGTTACAACAGAACACCCATACCAAAGCTACATATACAGGCTGGTATTCCCAGAAATTTCCTGTGACTCACTGCCTGTTCCTACTTGGTATATACCACAAAACATCTGAGCTCAGTGCTATATATTGTCTGTTACACCCCATTGCTCTTGTGACTATGTGACAGCTACTGCATGTAGTGCTTACAATTCCAAGAAGATGGCAGCATCATATTACTTCCTGAATGCAGTAATGATGTATGTCCTGCGTTAGAGAACTAAACTGAATTTTAAGTCACCATTGACTGAATTAAAGAAAAGGGAGGAAACCTTTAACACAGCAAAGATGAACATACCTATATATATTATGGACATTTACAATAAAAAGGTCAAAAATTAAGGGAAGAATGGACATGGCATGGGCCCTAACCTTCATAACAATCTGTCTTAAGCACCAAAGATATCCTACTTAGTTTTCTTTACTAAGTTCATAACAGAATCAGATGTCTCTGCATCTCATCTATACATAATCACTAATTTGAATGTTGGGGCAAAGAAACATTTGTAGCACCACCTTAAACACTTTTACACCTTTAATGTGACTGCATTGTATACTCTGTCTTGGAATATTCAGGTTCATACGGCCATCTTTACAAATTTACATTGCTTTAGGTAGTTTTGGTTGATCACAGTGGCCATGCAGTCTAAGGCATGAACTGTCTTCGCTTGCTCAAACAATGGGATCGTGGATTCTCCGCACCCAACGCATGGATGTGTGTACGGTTATTGTGTTTGTGTTGTCCTGTGTGTAGGTGGAGGCCTTAAAAAGGGCTGATGACTCATCCAAGGAATCCTACTGACTGCATACAAAGATAACAAAACTGAAGGGGCCGGAGCCCAACAATGGGCTGTAGAGCCATTGATGCACAAATGAACAGGCAGTTTTGATGGTCATTTCTTGTGAATATGAATCTAACATAAATGGTGGCGGATGAACCCGTATTGTTGGTAAACATAATATAAAAAAGTGTCACATGTTTATCAAACTTTATAAAATATATATTTTTTATATATTCTATGATAAGCATGCTTTGATAAATTTCATAAAGTATGATTTCAATTGCAGATGAAGCAGCGGTTACAGCCGACAAATGCAGATCAAAATTAAATTTGCCTGACAACATTCCGCCTAAACCTACATCAAATATCAACAAAATGAATTACATGGTTTGGAGCAGGATATGCATGGAGAAAAATACACAAACAAAGTAATAAGTATTTACATATGAAAACATTTAAAAATGACAGGCAGTTATAAATTTAGCAACACCTAAACAAATGTGGTAGCGTAGTTGGTGAAGCACTATGATACAAGCCTGAAGGTCACGTGTTCAAGTTGCAATGAGATCACTGGATTTTTAAATTGACCTAATCCTTCCAGCCGCACTATGACCGTGGTGTCATCTCAGCCTCTAACAGAAATGAGTACCAGGAATTTTCCTGGGGGGTAAAGTGCAGCTGGCGCATAAGGTAACAACCTTACCGCCATCTGTGAGCCAACTGTCTAGAAAATGTGGGAGCCTCGACGTCTGACAACCCTATAAGCCTCCACGGCCTGTTACAGGGATAGCTGTACCTTTTTAAACAAAATTTACAATTTATTCACTCCATACTTCACTTTCAGTTTATTCAAAACATAACTTTCACATCGCATAATTCTTAATATTATGTCTGACAGTGTTGTAATTTATTTTATGCAATAAATTTTTTTATCCGACTTAATGGGCACTGACAGACAATGTAGTAAATCAGGCATTTCCCCACCAATTTGTGGGGAAAAATCAAAGTAAAAAAAATACATTAACACCAACATTTAAAAGTGCTTGAAAAATTTGTTCTTGTTTCCTGAATTCCCCATGGTGACAATTAAAATAGCCTTAAATAGCTTCAAGGTAAATTGTAAGCTAATATTCTCGCTCCCCCCCCCCTTACCCTTAAATAATACTGGTAACTGCCACCAAACTAGAATTACATACTGTCAGGTTACATTATACCACCTTGACAGTGTTAAATTTATTTCCTATAGAAAGGAAATTATCCAAAACATGGTTTAATAAATATAATGTTGTGAGAATCTTAATAACAATTAACAGTGATTTTGTAGTCCACGTAGATACACACTTAAAGTTAGTAATAATACTTAAAAACACTCTCAACTTGCTATTTATTCAACTGTCACTTAGTGTGTTCTATTACCTTACTCAGAGAACACTTCATACGGTTACTTATCTCCAGACTATTTATTTACAAGTTATTCCCACTGATGTATTGGCTTTAGGTCAGAATTCTGTACTTCACTTAATTTTAATTCGTTCAAATGAAACTTCTGTATTAAGGTGATCAATATGAACTATCTCAATAATGACCTAACCTTAAATATCTCCACGAGTAATCCTCTGAAGAACTCAGACTGTGAGAAAGACAGAATTCCTCAGCAAACATATTCTCAAGCCTTGTCTGTCATATCACAAAAAAGCAGCACTATTACTGTATGCATATGTGAACATGTGTGCAACAAAACGCTTTGAAATACAGTAGCTTAAAAAGTTTTGACTTATTTCGAACAAAACAGGCCACAAACAAATCCAAGTCTTTCGTATACTGTCACATTTTACACAAAATATGTACACACACTACGCCTCTCTTTTTTTATTCTATATTATGAAAAATACATATAGAAATTAATAAAATATCTGTCACAATTATATTCCTATCTCTGAACAATTTCCCTCTCTATCTGCAGACGCAAAGAGAAACAGAGCCAACTGGCGGGAAAGATTTCAGTGAGTAGAGGAAGGTGCGCGAATTCACCTCGATAAGCATACAGCTGCCATCTAGCAGGATACTGGAAACTAACAGTTTCAAAATATTTTAAGGCAAGAAGGGGTCATGTACTTACTTACTCATGGAGCTGAGCCCTTCTGGAGGAGCAGCCAATTCTGCAGCTACTAAAGAATTTCCCATCATTTTACGGAACCCAAAGGCTCGTTACCTTGTTCATAAGAGTCCTCCAATGGTCCCTATCCCGAGCCAGATCTATCCAATCCATACCATCGTATTCTATCTCTCTAAGATCCATTCTAATATTATGCACCCGCGTACGTCTTGGTATTCCCAGTTGTCTCTTTCCTTCAGTCTTCTTTCCCACCAATATCCTATATGCATTCCTCTTCTCCTCCATCCGTGCAATATGCCCCGCCCACCTCATCCTCCTTGACTTGATCATTCTAATTATACTTGGAGAAGGGTACAAGTTATGAAGCTCCGCATTATGCAGTTTTCTTCAGTCTCCTGTCACTTCATACCTCTTCGGTCCAAATATTCTCCTCAACACCCTGTTCTCAGAAATCCTCAGTCTATGTTCCTTTCTTAATATCAGAGTGCAAGTTTCACACCCATACAGAACCAGAGGCAAAATTATAGTTTTGTATATTCAAATGTTTATATTTTGGGGCAGCAGACGAGAAGACAAAAGGTTCTGGACTGAATGGTAGCAAGCATTACCCGAGCTCAGTCTCCTTTTAATTTCCTCCTGAATCAGGTTTTGGTTTGTTATATTCGTTCCCAAATATCCGAACTGTGCCATATTTTCAAAACATCTGTTTCGTATCTTTATGTCATGATTTTGCCCTGCATTTTGGTGACGAGACAGCAACATGTACTTAGTTTTCTCAGTGTTTACTTCTAGACCAACGTCTTTACTAGCATCAACTAAAGTATGGACTTATTTTATTCCTTCTTGTTTTGGTACTAACATAGTATAAAGTAAAGTTGTCCCTGTGCTTAACTAATTACGCACTACTTTATGAAGGTGTATGGGGGAGAGGATGTATAGATCCACATTTTCTTGACCTCGGCACCCGCTGGAGGTGAGTGGTCAGCTTCACGCCATGTCCTCCTTACCGCCGGGGAAAGATCCCCGGTACCTATCAGACAGGAGGCTGGGTGGGTTCCAGAGCCGGTCTCGAGGACGTTGAGAAGAGAAATTTCTTGCCCCATACCAGGACTCGAACTCCGACCCTCGGTCGTCCAGCCCGTAGCCCAACTGAGCTATGCCGGCTCCTGGACGACGTGGAGAATAGAAATAATATTTCAAATTTAATTTGAAATCTTACTGTCTGTGAATGTAAGCTCAAGAGTATGACATGTTATCTTTTCCCGTGTAGTATGGCAGAAGTGTACTGACGTTTCGAAGGATGTATTGCCTCCAGATTCAGGGTGGGCCCTGAATATGGAAGCAGTACGTTCTTCGAAACGTCAATAAATATCTATCAGAGTACACGTCGACAAATCCAACAAGATGGTTTTCTTCGAGTTTACTGTCATGGAAGAAAACACGATATTTTGAGACCGGACCGGAAAATCATCTAACCAAACCTAACCTAACCTGCACATACAAGAAGTTCCGAGAAGACCTCATCCCGCTTATGTCATTTCGCCTCTTCGACACCTTGATTTTGTCTAAATAATAAGTACCTCCATGGATCTGAGCCCTTCTTGAGAAACCGTCAGTCGCTCAGCTACTAAAGAATTTCACAACATTTTATGAAACCTGAGGTTTATTACCGTATTCAAAAGATCCCTCCACTGGTCTCTATGCTGAGCCAGATCAATCCAGTCCATACCACCCCATCCTATCTATCGAAGATCCATTGTAATACGAGGGAGAGTTAGTAAATTGCCCACAAATGGGAGTAAAACAGCTGTACTGGATGTAATAGGTTTTCTGTGTGTATCACTCGGTAGCAGCAAAGTCCAGCTTCGTGACAGTGTAGGTAGCAGACGCGCATGCGTATGTTCAAGGGATGGTTTCAGTAGTCAAAATGACTACCGTGCTTGAGGAGTATCCTACGGATGAACAGCGTTCTATTGTGCGTTTTGTGGTCAAAATGTCTCATTTCAAAGGATATTCGTAAAGAAATGTTTCCTTTAC